CTTCTCCTTTACTCCAGGTGGGTTGGGACCAATTGATGCATCCTAGATGTGTGCTCGCTAGCTTTTAAGACCCCAGACACCACTCATCAAAATAGGATGCAGAACATCTTCTTAATAAACTTTGTTATGCCAATTGACCTAGATGTCCCCTGAAACCATGGTCCCCAGACCCCCACCCCTGCTACTCTGTCCCTTGAAGTGTTTGCTTGTATTCAGGAAATTTCTTAGCTTTGGTTTAGTCCAGTTGTGCTGACTTCTCCTGTAGTGTGTGCTGTCCTTCCCTTCACTTAATTCTTTTCTACTATTTAGTTAGTGAATACCCCTCTCCCTCCCTTCCCATCCTCGTAACCATCAAAGAATGTTTTCTTCTGTGTTTAAACCTCTTCTTGAGTTCTTGTAATAGTGGTCTTATACAATATTTGTCCTTTTGTGACTGACTAAATTCACTTAGCATAATGCCTTTCAGATTCCTCCATGTTACAAGATGTTTCATGGATTCATTGTTGTTCTTTATCGTTGTGTAGTATTCCATTGTGCGAATATACCATAATTTTTGTTTATCCATTCCTCCATTGATGGCCATCTAGGTTGTTTCCACCTTTTTGAAAAATAGCTACATTTAACGGGCACTTGATATGCCACTAAACATTTGTGCTAGGCTTACTCTGTTAATTTTCATTACAACTCTGAGATAGATTTTCTTATTTTCCTATTTTGTACACATATAAACAGGAGCCTGAAGAATATAAGTAACTTGCCCAGGTTACATCTGGTAAGTGACAAAACCGGGACTCAAACTCAGGCTACCTGATAGTAAAGTCCATAGTTGCTCTGCACCACTCTACTATACTGCTTCCCAAATTGTCAGAATGGACAAATGTTTTGAGGCCTCCATCATCACTGTGAAAGTACCATTTGTAGCATCAACTATATGCTGACATCAACTATATGCTGAAGCAGGAAGTGGTGATCTCCTTCCCATTCCTACCTTTGCAGGTGGCCTGGAGGTTAAGATCAAATACTGGAAATAGTAAGCGCCCAGGCTTAGCCAGAAGTAAGAGAAGTCTTGAGGTTCATCACAAATTACAAATCCCAAGCTCTCTCCCCCATTTCTGAATTTTATTTATTGTATAAAGAACACCCTATAGCACTATACCAACAGTAAGGGAAATAACACACACACACACAAAAAAAGAAAACAATCACCTATAGTTGCAGCACCCAAACACACTAACCATTTTAATTTCCTGTAGAAAGTCCCTTCTAGTCTTTCTTCACATGAAAATTTAAAAAGGAAAAATTAGAGATATGATTTTGTAGTCTTTTTTTTTAAGGATGTATTGTTTTCCCAACTGCTAATCTTAAAAATTGTCAACTTTTCAAACTCCTTTAAAGAATTTAAGATTGTTTTCAAGTTAATGGTATAATAGGAAAAAAACTCTTTTAAAAGATCATCTTCAATTAAAAACAGAAACAAAACCCAATTCTCAACTCTCACTTTTACATGCCTTTAATTACATAAACTGATACGCTGCAATGCACTGTATTTCTGAATGCAAGTCAAATTCTGAATTACACTGAAAACCTGCTCTCTTCTGAAACAAACCAATTAAAATTCCTTTGCTTAATGCTCCTTCATTTAGAGTCACTAGGGTGAGCCCTGGTGGCATAGTGGTTAAGAGTTTAGCTGCTAACCAAAAGAGTCAGCAGTTCGAATCTACCAGCCACTCCTTGGAAACCCTGTGGGGCAGTTCTACCCTGTCCTATAGGGTTGCTATGAATCGGAATCGACGCAATGGGTCTGGTGTTTTTCAGTTCTGAGCTGGATATTACACTAGGAACCAAGTTCAGCCTTTTTTCTCAAAAATACCCCATCTTTCCACATGTGTTTCCTTCAGGGAGAATCAGAGGAGGAAGAAGGATGAATGTCTTTGGTCTCAGTATTTTTTTGTATGGCCTTATTGTTGTTAATATTACTCTGACTGAATGTCAATACAAGCATTCACGGGCTCTGCACATCATAACCAAACCAAACCAAACAACCTGAACCCATTGCTGTCAAGTCGATTCCGGCTCATGGTGACCCTATAGGACAGAGTAGAACTGCCTCATAGAGTTTCCAAGGCTGTAATCTTTACAGAAGCAGACTGCCACATCTTTCTCCCACGAAGCAGTTCCACCAGCTGACCTTTTGGTTATCAGCCGAGTGCTTAACCACTGCACCGCCAGGGTTCCTTCCCAAAATTCCACGCTGACTGTCTAATAAAATCACTATGCAGAATGTGATGGTAGCCAAGTTTTTTTTTACCAGTGAGGCTCACATTTTGAAGGTAGCAAGCACGCATGGTATAAACATAAATGTAGAAAGGAGAGGAATACAATGGGAGAGTAAACACCACTATAAAAGACCTAATTAGAATTATTTGGGCATCTACAATGGATTAGGATCATCTTCACTCAAGCAAGCACCCGAGATCTGAGGAAAGGAAGAAGGGCCACGATCACTGGGAGAGTTTTGGGCTCAGAGAGTTGTCTAGATTACTAGATTACGAGGGTGAGGAGGGAGGGTGAGGGTTATTTACTAACTAGATAGTAGATAAGAATTATCTTAGGTGAAGGGAAGAGCAGCACACACTACAGGGGAAGTCAGCACAACTGGACTAAACCAAAGCTAAGAAGTTTTCTGAATACAATCAAACACTTTGAGGGACAGAGTAGCAGGGGTGGGGGTCTGGGGACCATGGTTTCAGGGGACATCTAGGTCAACTGGCATAACAAAGCTTATTAAGCAAATGTTCTGCATTCTACTTTGGTGAGTGGCATCTGGGGTCTTAAAAGCTTGCTAGCAGCCATCTAAGATGCATCAATTGGTCCCAACCACCTGGAGTAAAGGAGAATGAAGAACACCAAAGACATAAAGGAAGTAGTAGCCCAAGAGACAGAAAGGGCCACATAAACCAGAGACTTCATCAGCCTGAGACCAGAAGAACTAGATGGTGCCTGGCTACCACCAGTGAGCGCCCTGACAGAGAATACACCAGAGAGTCCTGGATGGAGCAGGAGAAAGGTGAGGTGCAGAACTCAAATCCTAGTAAGAAGACCAGACTTAATGGTCTGACTGAGACTGGAGGAACCCCGGAAAACATGGCCCCTGGATTCTCTATCAGCCCAGAACTAAAACAATTTCCGAGGCCAACTCTTCAGACAGGGATTGGACTGGACTGTGGGACATAAAGTGATAGTCGTGAGGAGTGTGCCTCTTAGCTCAGTAGGTACAAGAGACTAACAGGCAGTTTCTGTCCAGAGGTGAGATGGGAAGGTAGAGAGGGTTAGGAGCTGGTTGAATGGACATGGGGAATCGAGGGCGGAAAGGCGGAATGTGCTGTCACAGTATGCGGAGAGCAATTAGGGTCACATAACAATGTATGTATAAATTTTTGTACAGGGAGAAAAAATAAAGAGAGTTGTCGAGACTGTGCAAGACAGGAATGACAAAGCGGGAGAAAGATGTGTTTGGAGCAAAGTGTATGAGTAAGAAGGTAAGGGTAAAAAGAGGAGGCTGAGGCAAGGCTGAGCACATGATTAAAGACACAATTAAGAAACTGATGCTTGATATGAAAAATAAACAGTTGGGAGAGGATAAGGAATGGAGAGACAGTTTTAACAGCAGACAAGAAAGATGTTCAGCCAAATACCTGAGAGTCCAGAGGCCGAAGGTCAGTGAGAAGAAAGCTTCTATTTTTACTTATACTTACTTGCTAAATTACTTGCTATTTATTATGTTGACATAAAATTCCACAGGGAACGTTCCCATAAAAAGATTCAAAAGGAGAATTTTCCTAAACCATACACAAATTGTCTCCTATCATTTGGCATTTCTCTCAACTTTTATAAAATTTGAAAATTACTACACAATAATTCTAGGAGGAAATCTATAAAACAACTGCCCCATTTATTACTTAAGAAAAAGGCCAAGTGAAAAAGCCATAAGCACAAACTAGTCTCTGGTGATCCCACACGTTTGTCTGTCGGCAGCGGTGTACTCTTCTCCTCGTCACTCCCTCCCCAGCTCTATCCAGTTCCTTCATGCTGCTTACTACCGGTTTTCTTCTGGACAATAGCTATTTTCAAGAAAGGATAGCCTTTTGTCTTTTTTTTTTTCCCTTCAAACATGGCTGTTGGTT